GAGGGCAAAGGGAATATAGGATGGATGGTAGAAGAAGGTCACTATATCACTCTGGCTACATGACCACTTGCAGAAATTAGGACTGTAATTGTTGTGAGCATTTTTCTCTTGTATGTGTGAATCAAATATTTTTGTTTTGTTCACTTATAAAATATAAGATGTAATATGTTTTCAGTTATACCTGTTGTATCATGTTTGATGTATGTATGACATTATAGTTATTAAGATGAGCAGAGATTATGTATGGTTTGAGATATGTACAGGTACCAAGTTGACAAAGGGTGGAATGTGATAGTTTTGGTTTTGTGTCAACTTAACATTCTTAGTGGTTTGGCAGATGAGATGTAGTAATCTCCCTAGCAATCAATTGAAAGGAATTTTCCTTGAGGGTGTGGACTACATGCAAGATGGTGGAGACTCAGGCAAAGCTTGCTTGCTTTGGGCTGAGTCTGGATCCTGCATCTGGCTTGTCATCTGAATTCTGGTTCTTTGGACTTGAGCCTGTGGTCTGTTCTATTGTTTGTCGATCCCGAGAGTTGACAACAACTTACCATTATACCTGCTTATCCTTGGATTCAGAGTCCTGGTGTGAGGCTGTGGGTTAATGCACTAGACTGCAAAGTTGGTTTGAACTTCAAGGTTGGAGGTTCAAGTTTACAATCTGTTCCTTGGAAACCCTATACAGAGTCATTGCTGATATCTGATTGATCTTGGCTGAAAGCAGAGAACACCAGGAAGATGTTTACCTGTGCTTTACTGACTACACAAAAATTTTCGATTGTGTGGATCATGACAAGCTATTGACAACATTTTGGAATATGAGTATTCCTAACACTTAATTGTGCTCATGAGGAGCCTGTACATGGACCAAGAGGGAGTTGTTTAAGCCACAAGGGACACTGAATGGTTTAAAATTAATAAAGGTGTGCAACAGGGTTGTATTCTTTCACCATACTTACTCAGCCTGTAGGTTGTTTCTGTCAGGGAAATTAGAATTGCATAGAAGAATTGATGCATTTGAGTTATGGTGTTGGAGGAGAATATTGAAAGTACCATGGACTGCCAAAAGAACCAACAGATCTGTGTTGGAAGAAGTGCAGCCAGAGTGCTCCTTGAAGGCCAGGATGGCCAAACATCATGTCTCATAC